TTCCTTTCTTAATAATCGGTCAAATTTAAAGTAAAATGCACTCAATAACATGGAGTATAGACTACTTCAGTTATCTTTTCAATAACTATCCAAATAAATTTCATATGAGATACACAAAGCACAGTAGGATGCAGATTCAAAATCATCTGCTCCAATAACAAAAGGTAAAAGAGAAAAATGAAAGTCAATTTCATCTCATGTAATATGTGTTTTCCATATACATTTTGATGGAGAACTATTTGTAATCTTTAAAACTTTCTGTTTTCGTTGTCGTCGCTTTCTATTGACGTTTTCTTCGACATTATCGTTTACTTTTATCATTTCGACTTTTACTATGTGATGATCTAAAGTCCCTTTCGATGACAGGACAGAATACGACCCTGGAGCAAACTTGTACGGCGAATTCAGTGATGCCAGTATGTAATCTACACGAGTCCCGTACTTGCACGTTCCCTGTACACCTGCATCGAATTGAATCATTTGGTGTTAAAGGGGGAAAAATTCAAAGAGAATGGTTTCATACTTTGGCCTTTGGCAGCCACTACCACAGGCTCACATTCCCCTGCGAAGTCCTTAGCATCAGTATATTGTTTGTTCTTCAGAAACTTCATCACGTCAACCTTTGGTATCGGTTTCCCCATCTCCTCATGGTACTGCAAACAAAACGAGTCCGTTTGAAAGATGTTACATCAAAATCCTGACAGATAATGTTCAGGAAAATGCCCCCATTTAATATATATATATATACCTTTACAATATTCGTCCACCTTTCGTTGGAGTAATCTGTTTTTCCAAGGAATTGAGGCCTCCAGCTAAAATATGTGGACCATCATTCGATTGAATTATCGCATTTATTTGCTTCATGCGCCAGTTCTCATCAAGATGATCAAGGTGTGTGCCATGGAAGTTGACTTCTCCGGTCTCGGGTACATCGATAGTTGCCTTTAGGATATTCCTGTCATCAAAAACCCCAAGCCAGTAGTCGGCATAAGCTTGAGTTTGGAAGCTTTCGTTCTCATCGGACTCTTTCTGAAAAAGGAATTCCCATGCTTTGTTCATAGGTCATAGATAACAAAGAAAGAATTCCATACATTTAAGACTCTCTTTCAGTTGTTTTCCATTAGTCCTTTTCAGTATGTCAATGATTTATTAACAATAATCATGTTACCAAACTTCACCTGATATACTTCCAAACCATGATTTTGTTTCCCATTGAAACAAACAAAAAATAAGGCTCAACAGCGTATCACACTAAATCTTCTCCACTTTTAAGTAATACTAACAGCTATAGTTTAATCACTGATCTGTCATAATTTGATCATTTTCCCTGATTTCCCACACGCAAGTAAGATTCAATGTTACTTGGAATGATAAAATTTCCAGGAAGTCATCTCATATGAGAAAAAGATTGCAATTAAGAAACAACTTGGTAGATTTCTTATATGAAACCACTTCTGGCATCACTATGCAACTATCTAGTTAGCTGAGAACCATAAATTATAGATTGATGATTCCTTAATATGAATGATAATGGAGAAAAGAGAAGACTGACCTGAAATCTGTATCATCAAAGATCTTCTGCACTTTCCACAGCTTAATCGGCCACTTGGAAAGCACGGCGTTGCCGTATTCCGGTGCCCAGCTCTCGGCACACACATAGTTCATCCCCAAAGCGGCAGCTAAATCAGAAAAAGGCTTCATTGCTTTCTCTTCCTCAGCTTTCACATCTTGCAGAGCTAATATATCAGCATCCAACTCCCTCAGACTTCAAGCACCGTCTTTCTACTTCTATAACTCTCAAAATCATCAACCCCATTCCCCATGTTTTCCGAAAAACTCTGTGTTTCTCAATGGAGTTTTGCCTCTCCAAGTTCTACTTGAAGAACCATCCTTTTCAAGTTCTTCCGCAAAGCTCAGTTGTCGATTCCGCAACAAAGATATCTCGTTATGCGGTAAATCGATCGATACCCTTAGCCTGGATTTCACATATTTTTTCTGCCGGGAGAGATTCTCCTTGTAGTTCATGGAATTCGGATGCAGGGGAGATTGCTTCAGTATACTTTTTGGTCGATCATTCGTAGACTTTGAGCGCCTACCACAACCACCATTTTGGAAATCAAAACTCGAAGACTTATCTGCTTCAGGCATTGCAGGAGCCATGAAAAACAGGGAAGCATTGAAAGTGGCTATACGTATGGGCCTCGACGAGTTCAGACCACCCAATTGGCCATCTTGGTGAACTTTCGAAGAACCATTATCAGCACGAGCTTTGGAGCTTATTTTACCAAGCCTTTTGATGACGATGACAGGCTTGGACTGGCGGCGAACCGGCCACCTGAGGCGGAAACAAAGGCACTTGATTCTCTTGTTGAGGAGTTTGAACATGGTGGAGAAGTGGGTGGTGAACAAAATGGGTTGCAAAGCTTTTGAAGTTTGCATGAGGGAAAAAAGAAGTGTTTCTTTGGTATATACGTTAAAAGAAATGGTGGCCAAGGATTATGGCTGGTTTCTGTTGGAGGAAGAAGAGAGGAAGGTGGCTTCCAGGAAATGATACGATGACAAATGGCAGCAAAGCAAGGGTTGAATGTGAATTTTTGCTTCAAAGACGGGCAGTGAGAGGAGGATGAGGGAACATAGTCAACTGCTCCCAAGAAACAAAAAATGCAAATTGTGGGTCTTTTAATTATAATAATATACAGATTGAAAAAATAATCGTATTTTGGCAAGTCAAGTTAAAAATCTTTATAACATTGGAAAGTTATTAAATTTATTTAAGTAATATATTATTCAAAATAAAAAACCAAAAAAAGTAATATGAACTCTCTTAATTTCTTCCTTTTTTTTAGATAATTTTAAGAATAAAATATACTGATTATCCATTAAATTACATTAAAATAACCTTTTTTAGTATAATTTTAAAAGTTATACAATAATAATTAAAATTTATTAAATTATTATAAAATGATGTTTTAACTTATCAAAATTTTATAACATACAATGATTATATCTTAAAAGTTTAACATCAATATAATTTAATGATCATTTATACACTTTATCTTAAAAATATACACGAACTAAAAAAATTCCTATTAAAAAAAAGTCGGTTTATTTTCTATTTTTAATATATATTATTTAAGGACATTTAACGACTTTTTAATGTTGTAAAGATTTTTAACTTCACTTGTCAAAATATTAAAAAAACTTTTATCTGTGTATCCGTATATATAATAAAAGACCCGAATTGTATTTTTAATTGAATTTTCATTTAAATTATAATTATAATTATTTAAAATATTATGGTATTAATTGATTTTAGTTAAAAATACTTTCTTTAACTATATACTATATACTATATACATATATTTCTTCATATTATTTTTAAAACATGTAAGTAAGATTTGTAATGTTATTTAATAAATTAAATATTATCTAAAATTATAAAATATATGTATTGTTATTTTCTTCAAGAATAAAATTTGAGGATAAAGTATTGCTACAAGTGTGAAAGAGTCAAAGAATTGATACCAAGAAAGAATTATAAAGAGTTACAGTTGAAGAATCAAATTAAATAGAACATAAAGTTGAGAGATTAAATTGTAAAAAGAGAGAGAAAAATTTTGTCAAAAAAGGAATTGAATTTTGACAAGTATTCTACATGAGGAGTATGTGGTTCAAATTTTATAAAAAATAAACTTAAACTTAAATTGGAATTGAAGAAACAAAATAATTTAATTACTTATCTAAAGACAAAAATAACATAATTTTAATATTTATTTTTTAGTTATTTAAAATTTTTAACATTCAAATTCGACGAACTCAAAATATGAACGATTAAATAAAATCAATTCAAATAATTAAAATAGTTCAAAATTAAAAAAAAAATTATCCAAATCAAATCAAATATGTTCACCCATAATTATACTATAGAACATATGAGGATGGTATCCAAATATTTTCTTAAATGAAGAAACTAAAGTTTAAATAAGAAAACTACCCGATTTAAGATTATTTCATAAAATTTTAAATTATGATTTTTGATCCTTTGATTATGTTTAAATTTAGATTTTAATGTATATACAAACAAATGTCAAAATAATTAAATTTTATAGTTGAGAATGAAACCCACTTCAGCGTTTCCTGTATGATCTGCATCACATGGATATAAAATCAATGAATAAAAAAAATTGTGACAAAATGGCATCCCTGGTTCTATAAAAAAAATAAAATATTAATAGAGTTATAAGAGTTGGGTGAAGTATAATTTTATTTAAAGAGAAGTAAATCTGTGAGCCTAAGCTGGGATTTGCTGTTATCATTGGAAGACGCTAAATGCATGAGTTTCTGGACTTTTCTCTTAAGACAATCACTTAAAAAATTCCAGAAAACCATTGACAGCTTCTCCCTCTTCTGGCTGTTATTAAAGTGAAATGTAGATTTAGCGGGGGAAATTAGTAATTAATATAGAATTTTTAATTTAATTCCCACCTTTATAATTTTTGTTTAAGTTTAAACTAACTTATCTCACAGCAAATATGTTTTCTTCTTTGTTTGTCCTCTTAAAAATATTCCTTCCAAACTATCCACAAAAGATGAGGTTTTACAATTGCCACTAAAAGAATATTGGTATAGCATCAATAATTTTTCGATTAGATATAGCTGCAATAATTGTGTATATTAGATCAGTGGTCACTATAACCTGTCCAGCAAGTGGTAGTTGAAGTAGCCCATTGCTGCAAATCTTATCAGAACATTAATGGTGCGTGCATGCAGCTGGAATAATCACGTGGTTCTTCTGCATGGCTTCATTCTGTGTGGGGTACCAAGGATGAATGGAGCCAGACATTAACACAGAACAAACAGCACAAACCTTACACACTGTTTGTTAACCAACTTGTCAGAATCATCACTTGACACCAGAACTGGGATCAAACTCTTACACAATCTTCCCATCTGTTTTCTTGGGGGAAAAAGTGAAGCTAAACTACATTAAGTAAAAGAATCAACTGTACAAGATGTTTATGAGCTATAAGTTTTTGACTCTGTTTACCTGTTTTTTTCATAGAGACAAACAACCAGATAAATACAAAAGACAAAACAGACAAAAAAAACACTTAGTTTGAGTAGACGTCCATAGAGAACCTTCTCAACCATCCATCGTTAAGACACTGCTCCTACTACTGGACATAGTCTACTGAAATTGTTCAGTGAGCTATGGCCAACGACTCAGCAAAACGTGCACGTATACGGCAAATAATCGGTGCCCTACAAGCAGGGCAATCCTTCATCCTTTGTTTGTGGTGGAGTTCGCTGCACTTGACACAAAAGACCTGATGCGAACATGGAAGGAATACCACTATCTTTTCTTCTGTTAAGCACATGACACACTCACGCTCCCGTTTCAAGCCTCTGCTCCTAGGATAATCGTTGATGTTAATCACCCTTTTGGAGAAAATCGGAAGATGCCCCTCTTTGACAGAAGAGCACTGACCATTTCCACCATCAGTGCCTCTCCAAAGTGCAGATATTTTTGAAGAATCCAGATTCATCTTCAACTCGGATAACTTGTTCTCAAGCCTTTTGATCTCCTCTCCATATTTCTGCATATCGTTTTCTGCTTTCATTTTAATCTTATCCTCCTCTATTTTTTCCGCAGCTTCAAGACATTCGCTTTCCTTCCTTATGGAGGCAGCCTGAGCAAGAAATTTCTCCATTGCCATCCTCTCTTGTTTCCATAGCATCTGCAAATTTTCATCATGAGAAATATAAGTTGAATAGAATTTAGTATTTTTCAAGGCATTGACAGCTAAGTGCAATTATTCTTACACCTTCATGCCTCTGATATTAATGGGGATGGAAAATTTTAAGACAGGAAGTTGCCATGACCATTAATGGTATCTGATTTTGCAATTATGAACAATATTTTCTATTCCTTCTTATTTTCCCTCTAAACCTCAAATTTAGTGGATGTAGCAACTAGTAACATAATCCAAGAAAACATGTTAATTTAACACATTAGAGATCAGGACCATCAGGTTGCTGATTTAGCTTAATATTGTGAATAAATGACTCACTGGCTTATAGAACTTGAGGATAGATAACCTAGCAGGGGCTTGGCAATGCCATTCTTTCGAAGAATTTCATGATGATTTGCGATGAAAACTAAAGTTTGGTAGTTAGTCCAAATTCCAAAACATTTCTGCAATTTTTATGTTCTCTTACAGTTCTATACTTTATTCTGTTCTTTTGGTGGCCTTCTATTTTATAATCTGTATCCTCAGCCTTACCACTCTAGAACCTTACTAACCATTTAGTTAAGACTAAGAACCATATACAAGCTTAACGAGGTAGAACTTGTGCTCAGCAAGGCTTATTTAGCAAAAGTCAAGATTAATGTTCTTCAAGGAGAAACATACCATAGTTTGATTGTAGATTCTTTTAGCCTTGCCTAATTTCCTTTGCAGCTCAGCTATCTTCTTCTTCTCTGATGCAAGCTCCTCCTGAAGCAAGCCCCTTTGTGTATCCCATGATCGAACCTCCTTAATTACTTTCTGTTCTCTTTCCAATGCTTCTAGGCAGCTTGAAGCTGTTGTTGCAGAATGCAACTTAGCAACCTCCATCTCCATTTTCAGCACGGAATGCTCCACCTCAAGCTTCTGAAGTTTAGAGTGAGCATCCTCAACCTGATTAGTTGCATTATCCAAGGCAGACTCCATCTCAAACAACCTCTTCATGGTGTTCTCCTCCATGATTTTTTTCTTCCTTTTTAGCTGTTCTGCCTCTTCCATCTCTTGCCTCAGTGATTTAATTTCATCTTGGTCCTTGTTAAGCCTACAAACAGCCTGCTTGACCTTCTGACTGGCCCATTGACTCCAACTATGTAGCTCATTCTGCAGTTCCTCTAACCTTGGAACTAGCTTCAATACCAGTTGGTCCTTCTCATCTTGAGGGATGTATTTCCCCAGAGACTTGTCATATGGAATTCCGGCAAAGTAATCAGTTGACTTAGAGGATGTAGAAGTTATTGCTTTGGCTTTAGGAGTAGGCTTTCTTTCTGCACCATTGTCAGGTGTCGTAGAAGATTTTGAGGTTCTGTCTTCAGATTTGTGCACAGGTTTATTTTCTGAAGAGGATGATGATGCAAGTCCAGTATCTGCGGTAGGAAGTGCTGATTTAGTACCATTCACAAGTAACACTGAAGAGTTATCTGGCACACATAACCCATGTGAAGAATTAGTTAAAACATGATGGCATTGATGAACTAAATCTCCAGGTTCGTTGATTCTTCTCAATGAAGCATTTTTCATATGCATAACTGATAATTCAGATGGAGACTTTATTCTCCTTTCGACAACTAAACCACCAATGGTAGCCATTTTACCAGATCTAAAAGCACATTTCCCACAAGCCACCTTGCATTTTTCTATATTGAAGGACTTTTTCCGGAGTGCAGCTAGCTCCTTTTTGGAGCACCCCTTTCGACAAGACCCTGGTTTTCTTCCAGGGATGGATGTAACCGGGTCCCTAGAAGCGCCCACATAGGCCAAACTGTCTTTCTCTGGTGTTAGTGCTTCATAAGCAACTGCTGCACCTTTGCAGTTAGTTAAATTGGCCAAACTTCCAAATTTCAGTGTTTCAGGCAGGTAATGCTTGCAACAGTGCAATGAAGGTTTTAAAACATGGTGACCATTTGGGCATGGAAGAATGGTTTCTGGGTTTTGTGATTCTGGTCTCAACTGGGCGATAGAGTCAGAGGAGCTCTCCCCCAAGATTTCTTTGCACCCAACATTACAGAATATATCTCCTACTTCACAAGCCATCGAAATGTTTAGGTCAAACATTAACAGCCACCACATTGCTTCTGCAATTGATAGAGACGGTTTAACCTCTCTAAGCACGCTAATCATCTCCAGCATCGTGTACTCCACTAGCTTTTGAAAATCCTCAAACACATAATTTGAAATATCCTCTCCTTTACCTTTCTTCAATGAAGCCAAGGCATCATTTGCAACATTTGACACAAGATTTTTACCCCCTTGATAGAGGCCACGCCCCGAAATGACCTTTTTAGCAACAGCTTCCTCGTATCCACACTCTACAATCCTTTTAATTGCATTTTGGAAAATTGTGAGCATATTGGATGACAATAATTCTGCGAGTTGACATGCGATTGGATCGTCCCAATCCGTAGGTTGAGAATCTTCTCTAAGAGAGGATCCCACCTCTAATGGTCCAACTGTTGGGCTTTGGAATATCTTGGGAGAGAATTCGCTCATCGACAAGGGAGCACTATCTGGATTCTCTAGAGAAGGATTATCATCTAGTTTTCTCTTGTTTTTGCTTCCTTTGTCTGATGGTACGACAGAAGAAGACTCTAGTTTGCTAGCAGCTGCGCCTCCATTATCGATCTTCTCATCCATCTTATGAATAACAATAAGAAATCCAACAATTTACTAGCAAGCTGACTCTCTCTTGAAAACCCTATATGAAAAAGAAAAGCAAGCAGAAAATGAACAATCATGGGAAATTCAATAAAGTTTTTAATTTGACCAGAAAGTTACAAAAGAAAACCAATTAACAGATCAATAACAATGCAAAGTAGATCATCCAATAGTAAGAAGAACAAAAATTCACCAATAAAGCTACCTATTGCCTACATTACATAGGAAAATAAAAATCCATACCTGTAACAGTAAGAAGATAGCCAATGAGCAAAGGAACCTTTATCAAGTAAGCAGAAGACTGAAAAAATAAAGGCTATTGGAACCCACCATCAACGTAGCAAATAAACTTGACAACACAAGCAAACTCGGTTTGCTCAAAACAACATCCCACTACTATACAGAGCCATTTTAACAAATACACATATCATCAAACAGCATATAGACTAGTCACCCAATTTGCTACCCATCCAATGATTTGCAAATAGGATTGTGTACTCCCAATCGTAGATCATTTCTGATCTGGTTTGGGAAGCATGGCGAACCCTTTGCCATAGAAGAAGCATAAATTCATAGAATTCGAGAATAAAAGAAAGAGCTCTAAGTAACCTGGAAATATAAGACAACAAAATCGAAAGAACAAAAAAAAAAAAGATTCACTTCTTCGAAAACACGCCCTTCTCTAAAATGTGGGATTATCTCAACTGACTGGGTTTTTGTTTTGAAGTCAATATATTCATATGAAAAAAAAAATCCAAAACATAAAAAAAGTCGAAAAGCTCAATGTTTTACTGTCTCGACAATCACATTTGAATTTCTTCACTTTTACGAACTGTTAACTTTGTAATCCGTATTGTGATTGGTTAATCAAGATCACAATAAACTATCTTCTTGAATAACGTTTTTCATAAGTAAGGATCAAGGTTCAGTTTTCTCTCTACCACGAAATGAATCAATATGCATTTTCAGATAACAATGACACAGACTCATGAAAGCCTAACATTTTCTGAAAAGAAAAACCACTTTCAACACACAACAAAATAAAATTAATCTTCTTCTCATCGGAAAAGAGGAGCTAAAAAAAGAAACAAAATGGAAAGTTTCTCATACCTAGAAATGGGTAAGGAAGAAGAACAAGAAGAGTAGCTTTGCGCTTGTCTTCGTTCCACCGCCGTGGCCGCTCTAAACTAGCTGCTGCTTCAATGGCGATGCTTAGCTTGTGTTTTGCTTCTCCCTTGCCTTTTTTTAATGTCTTTGTTGTGGGTGTTGGGCAAATAGGTCAATTTAGCAGCTACTTATTTGGCTTGCTTCTCCGTGAAAGTTTATTACATCAATAATTCTTTATTCGTTAATTTTCGATATAATCTTAAGATAATATATATATATATTTCATGCGATTTATGATACATATGGTAAGAAAATAACCCAACCAGAATTTGTTAAAATGAAAATCCAACCAAAATTAAAATTCAATTAATGAGTGATAATATTTAATTAATATTATCAAAATATCTAATATTTTTTTCAATTAATAAATGAATCGTTTTTTTATATGTCTATTTTCATTAGATTTGGTAAGATGTTAATAAAGTAATTTATCGTCTTATTAAAATAATCTTATCTTAAATAAAATGATTTACTTGAGAAGTTGTTTTTATTATATTTTAATTAATATTGATGATAGTAATTATGTAGAAAATATCTATCGATCACAAGAAATTAAATTTGATTGTAATAAGTAAATCTATTGATTTGATAATGATTATCTCTAAAATTTGAGGATGATTATACTATTAATTTTATTATTATTAACAGAAAATATATATATTTAAGATCTTCAAAACAACGTAAATATACATAAATACAAGTTTAAATTTAAATAAATTATTAATTTAAATAAATAAACATATTTTGTCGGTTAATCAAACAATTAATCATTATTTTTGTTAACATTATAATAAATTTTTAATTTGATACATCGATTAAACATGAGAACTAAATGATAAGATATAAAGCTTATTCCTCACTAAATTCAATTCATATTTTTATAATTATTTTTTACCAATAAACACCATAAAAGTTCGGTGGATCGTTAATGTAGATTACTCTTCGTACTTACATTTAGGCCCTAACAACAACATTGAAGGCACGATCGTGTTATCAAAGCTCTCCCACCATTGGATTCATAGGGTCAATAAAGTGGCCGAACCTTGATAAGAAAAACCAAAAGTGGTCGAATCTTGAATGTTATAGGTACCAAGTAAAGCACATCCCAAATTGCGTTTTATAATTAAATATTCAATTCCATAATGATTTTATAAATATGAGATCAATTAAATATATGAATTCGATTTTTTAGTTTAATTTAATATAAATTTATTTTTTTATTCAAATTGACATATAAACTTAATTAAATCATTTATTTAATTTAGATTCAATAATCAAATTCAAATACTAAACGTGTACATTTACCTTCTATATATGCATGGGTCTTCTTCGTTTAAAAGCCTTGCACCTCTAAGACAATTTCCTTCGAAATAAAGAAAGAAAAGGAAAACCAAAAGTAAAATGAAGATGTCGAATCTTGAATGCGGTACGTAGGAAGCAAAGCATCCTCAACTTTGTGTTTTAAACTGTTTGCTTTTCTTTTTTTTGAAGCAATTGTTATTCAACATTTGCAGAAGAGGATCTAATACTGTACTATTTATGTACAAGGAAGTGCAGGGAATTAACCACTTGTGCAGTTGTTATTTCGGAAAGTTTGGTATCTACTGTCAAAGACAAGAATCAAACTTTCTTCACATTCTCTGCCCTCGGAGAATTAAGTCAATATTTTTCAGATTTTTACGTCAAGATATATGTTGAAAAGTTAACGATAAACATAATGATCAATTACGTAGGAAATCTAATACTACGTAGTAAGTCTGAATTAATACTCAATCCACATTACTAGGTTACAATTTGATACTATACTGAAGCAAAATATAAACCCGTGTGTAAATTAGCTTAATGACCTAGAAGATAAAGTTGGGCCGGTATTCACACATAGAGCATACAAGAAAAGAGCTGCATGATACAACATAGAAAGCAAACCGAAGTTCCATAGAAAGACCAGGACAAATAAGCAGTAGCACACAACATTGTTATTGGACTACATATGGGGACCATATATGGCATAAGATCCGTCCCGGCTGCAAACTTGTAGCATCAGAACTTTTATCAGATTGCAGAGAAGAAGAATGGTTCAAACAGTATATTGACAATGGATACACACCCTACAGACATAGCTGCTTGAACCAGGGATATCTAGGGAAAATAACGTTCCCTTTTAACATTGAAGCCACTCAATGGATTCTAATATTGATAATATTAAATAAAGAACCAAGAGAGTTTAGCATTTAGCAACATCTAGTAAAAGGTGAACTAGTGATCATACTGGAGAATCAGCTGTACTAGTGAAATATTGGTATGCCTTACACCAGATCAGCTGTACACATTACAGAACTCAAAACTACCCATTGTTTTAATGTATGATTTTTTTTTCTCGAAAGACAACAGCAGTAGCACAAATGATGCATGAACATCTTGTCCAATGTAGTTTATCAAAACGAGAACACATATTTTTGATATGTCGGTGAAAAAAATCAGCATTAAGCTAGCAGAAAAAAAACTGTGAACTAAAGTTGTTGTCGACCCTGTTTTTCACCCGGACGAAAAACACTTTGTAAGACTTAGAAGTTTTCTTTTGAAAAAGTTTTAAAATGTTTTGAAGTCGTCATCGACCTTTTGGGTTAAATAGTTCGAATACCCAAACAATTTCTTTCAAAAGATTTTAAGAAAAAATCATTTTAAAAAATAAATCAGTCTATGTGTAACCAGATATTCATTCTTTTTTGAAATAAAAAAAATTGGGGATCAATTACATGTGTAGAAAGATAAACATCCCACAATGCTTAAAATTGATATTCCATCGATTATAAATTATCTCTAATAGTGAAATCTAAGAATTCGAATATAAATTTAAATTACGATCTCATTATTCCAAATTCAACCATACAATTTTTATTGAAATTTTACGGAGAAATAAAAAATATTCTAATACTTTCAATCGAAGAAAAAATAATTCCTAAAATACTTTAGATCGAATATTTCTCTTTACAACTGAAATAAAAAGAATATAATAATTTCTCCCAAGGATTCAATATTAAAATAATTCTTATTTTACCAAAGAAAAAAATTAAACCAATTTATCCGAATTATATTATTAGAAAAAATATGAGATATTCAATTATTTAAAAATACAAAGACTTAATCCCTAATAACGAATTGTCTCGATAAATTTAAATAAGTAAATATTTCATTTTCCCTTCAAACTTATTTAATTTTAATGCAATCATTTTTAGGTCTTTCTAGTGGGATACTTATTTATTTTAAAACATAAAAAAAAACATCTAGTTATTTTAAGACTGTCCCTTTTTAATGTTTTAAAATAAATACATATTGTCATTAATCCAATTATGTAATCGATTAAATTATGCTTATGAGCCTTTTAAACAAAATAAAATATGGTACACTGAGATATTTAAAGAAAAATAAATAAATACACAAATGGATCAAATCAATTTTAAGGTTATAAACACATATTTTATAAATATTATATTAAACATAGAACATAATATTTATTCTAAAATATAATAAAAAAATGTAAAATAAAATATTAATATCATGCTCTATATACAATATTATGCATAAAATAAAGTAATATGTAATATAAGCAAAATAAATATCTAAAACATAAAACATACTTTAACGGTACCAATAAACAATATACATTTATATCTATTCATTACGTGGTGACAAAAAATAAATGTATAGTAACCTTAGTATCTTAAACATTAATAAACAAATAGCATGGCATAAAACAAGAAAATAACAAAATAGAAGCACCAAAATCATAATAAAACCATAAATATAGGACTAAAATGAAATAATATAAATATCATTAACCAATTTCGAACAAAAATAATACAATCAATATAGGACTAATTTAAAATAATATAAAACCAAGCATCCAATTCGTAAATCATATAAAAAAATAAAAAGAAATGGTGACCAAAACACAAAACACCCTAAACTTGAAGGGACCTAAGACGAAATTGACCCTAAAAATATTGACTAAACCGTAAAACACATTAAACAAAGAGGACCAGTATGTGATTTAACCTTAAATTAGTGACCTAAATGCAAAACACTCTAAAGGTCTGAGCACCTTACCGTGATTTTCTCAAAATCCAAAATAAAAAACGCATCTCCTTTCCCAAACTCAAACTACCCGAAAATCCCTAACTTCCCCATCTCTTCTCTTCTTCCCCTTTCTCATTGCTTATCACTCCCCACGGCGGCCGAAGCAACGATGAAACGGAGCTGCGTCGCCTCGGCCACCCTATGTGGGTGGCCATTCTACTCCGGCCGGCAACTAACCTTGGTGTGAGGACTATCACAACGACAGCCCCTAAACACCACAACATACTCCACTTCCTCCCCCTCGACCAAGAATTAAAAAACAAATCGACCACCATACGCAGTGGCCCTCCGACGCCAAATAACACTCACTATGCTACCCTCTTTCCGACGACCTCATTACCCCGGCGAACACCACAGCAAGATAAGCTAACTCACTATCTCTATATTTTTTAGAACCCGTAAAATTTGCATCATAAAAAACAAAATTACAATCAAAATTAGGTTTTGTTACATGACTCTCAATTAGCTAATGTACCCATAATGAAAGAAAAAAAAACAGAAGGCTCCAGTACCTTAGAATTCAGGCTCTATTTTTTATAGGTGATAAAAATTGTTCTGTTTTTCATTGCCCAGTATATGTTTGTTTACATTGCTTTCGGGTTATATACCCTTACAGAAAAACAATCCATCCTACTAAGAAAATAGGTTTGATTGCCATATCTAGCATTCGGCGGTGTCAGAGTAAGGTCACTGTATGGTGACTAGTAGTGAGTGACACAACATGGTGTTGCAGGGCATGGCTTTAGCAGTGATGATGATGATTCATGTGGGATGCTGGGGGATGGCAGCTAAATGGGTCAGTCAACCGGGTCGAATCCGGGTATTAGGCTTGAACCGGATCTGGTCAGATTTTGGATAAAATTGGTAATTACAGCTGGTGACTCACGGAGCCCACATATAGACAACCTCGCCAGAGGTCATCAGTCTCACTTGGGGTTCCTCAGAAAGAACAACATGACAGAACCTAGGCTTTGATACACATGCCGTGCAGCCTACCTAAAACCAATTGGTAGTAGATGCAAAGACATGACTTGAACATAAGTCCCACATGAAACCCATACTCAACCAATGTGGGATAGCACCACTTAGCAATTTGACATATCATAATTCATACCTACATTAGGAAAGTTGTGTTTTGGGGGGGGGGGGAGAACACTTCAAACCTTCTTAAAATTGGAATATCAAGAAAATACTAAATCATTAGGGCAAATCAGATACAAGATAGACTACAGAAGTAGCCGCAAAATCCCAGATTCTAGGAAGAGGGAAGAGTCTTTTGCACTTCATTTAAGGGTTCAGCTAGAATTCCTTTAAAAAAAAAGGGTTCAGCTAGAATCTTATGAAATCAAATATATAGTAATACCAGTTGTACATACCATGAGGTAAAAATGTACGAGAGAAACAGCAGAGAAAATTTCAGGGCACTCAAACGTTGAAGATATTTTGAATAGATCAACAAAATCAGATCCTCTGTAACATATTTGAGAACTCTAAAGGGAGCTGATACACGTAAAGCAAGTCAATGATGAAGCCTGCATAAAGCAGGAGAACCCTCCAGAACCTAGTGAGGAAAAAATACAATGAATACATTCTCTTTTCTGTTCCAAACCGTCTTCTCGATTTACTACACTGCACAATGAGCAAATCACACAACATGCATATGGATTGGTCCCTTGCTGGGGTGGGGAGAGTACAAAGTGCAACCACACATCGAAAACAATTAGAAAACCAAGGAAATACTTTGAAACCTAAACGTCCAATAGTGGTTAACAAACAACTCCAAAATACTGCCATGGGATAAGATCAAATCTGTTACCACGTATATCAAGCAAAGCAACAAATCCTGCTAGCAGTTTTACGACCAAGAAATAAATCAAGTAGGAGATTTCCAAGACTGGATTTTGCATAAGCATGCCCAAATAGACAAATCGACAAATTTGCTGAGGCATTTAAGGGACGAAGGAACCAGAGAAAACAAAATATTTTTCTTACATCCTAAAACCAATTACTATTAATCCTTGAGAATCTTGCTGAGAAAAGGGCTATTTGGACATGTAATTTAGTGAACAATTCCTGCAAAAACTGATAATTCTCCTGCATGCATCTCTATAAACAACTATGAAGCAATTTACTATGTATTCCACAAGCAGAAAAGCTCACAAACAATCCATTTCTGATCAGAGACTTCATCAACAAATGCACCATTTCTTGAAAATTTACCACCTATAGACGTTATAATTAATAGTAAGAAACAACCTACAACAAAGTTGGGCATTTGATCTAGTGGAATGATTCTCGCTTAGGGTGCGAGAGGTCCTGATTTCAATTCTCAGAATGCCTTCTAATGATCTTATTATCATCCAAAGAAATTAGCGTAGGCAAAGCTATGCAAACCTTATACCTTTGAATATACAGGAAAAAGTAAAAGAACGAAAACCTTAATACATCAAATATTAATCTGAATTGTAAATAAAAATATGCAAAACTTGAAAATTTTGTCCACCAGAGAAAAAATACAAAAGCAAGAATATGGATTTTACAGCTCTGTTGTTTCCTAGTAGTCCGAAGATTCTTCTTTTCCTCTCATTGTCTACCAAACTCTTTCCTTCCCATGTCTTAAAATGAGAAGAAAAAGACCAAAAAAAGCTTTCAATCATTTCTTCGTTGCTTTCCTTCAAAAAATGCTCGATATTCTCTCGCCTCTCGGCACCTGATTCCCTTCCCGACCACACCCTTTTTCACAACATCCCCTCTAAGACAGGATGGTCGTCCCTCTCACCGACCGCCTGTCTTTCCTCCTCCTTGTCGCCACCACCTTTGCCACTGGAATCCGCCATGGCAGCATTATCCGGAAACCTTCCTCGGATGTTCCAACATTCAGGGAGGCCCCGAAGTTCCGCAACGGGGATGTTTGATGCTCTAATGCTTCCGAAAAAATTCACATTGCCATGACATTGGATGCAAACTACCTCAGGGGCACCATGGCTGCTGTCCTTTTCGTTCTAAAGCATTCAACGTGCCCCGAAAACGTGGGGTTTCATTTCTTGTGGGGAGCCCAACGTGCTCCAAAGTATCAACAAGACCTTCCCTTACCTCAACTTCAGAGTCTACCGCTTTGACTCCAATCGTATTCGCGGCAAGATATCGAGATCCATTTGCCAAGCACTCGATCAGCCTTTGAACTACGCCAGGATTTACCTTGCCAATATACTACCAACGGACATTAGACGCGTATTATACTTGGATTCCGACCTTGTTGTCGTCGATGATGTCATGAAACTCTGGGAAGTCGACTTAGAAGGCAAAGTGTTGGCCGGAATATTGTCATGCGAATTTCACACTGTATTTCACGGACTTGTTCTGGTTGGACAAGGAATTGTCCGGTACTTTCAACGGAAGACACCCTTGTTATTTCAACACCGGAGTCATGGTGGTGGATGTCGACAAGTGGAGACAAGGTGGATACACGAAGAAAGTGGAGGACTGGATGGCGATGCAAAAGAAGAGGATATACACCTTGGGTTCGTTGCCGCCATTTTTGTTGGTGTTAGCTGGGAATATAAAAGCCGTTCACCATAGGTGGAACCAACATGGACTAGGGGGAGATAACATTGAAGGTAAGTGTAGGAGTTTACATCCCGGGCCTATTAGTTTGCTGCATTGGAGTGTCAAAGGGAAGCCCTGGTTGAGGCTCGACTCGAGGAAGCCTTGCGCCGTCGATCATCTTTGGGCACCATATGATCTTTATGGCTCACCAGGTCACTCATTGGAAGGATAAGGGAAACATTGAAGGATACTTCAAAGACTAAATGAACTTATTGTATTATAGAGCATGAATCAACCTACCTTTCTTCTGTAACATTTATCTTCAAACATGGTGGTACAGATACAAAATAGATTAACCACAATTTAATATTCTGTAAAAAGAAGATGGGTAAACAACTTGAATGACCACCTATTTATGGGATTGGTGTTGAAATGACCACCATTTTCAAAATTTCGTCAATATGACTATTTAACTAATTAATTGGATTTAATATAGCCACCTCCATTAACATTTGATGGAAGTATTGATGTGTCAGTTAATAAAATTAATATAATTATACAGTTAGTCCTCAATACTTACATATTCTATCAATTTAGTCAGAATTTTAATTTAATTCAAAAATTTAACTTTGTAATTAGAATGTACCGCATGTCACCACCTATTTATTAGAATATTATTATTTCTTTTTTATGTATAATTTAAATCAAGATATATAAAAGTTTTGACAAATAAATAACAAACATTGGGTTGCCTTGGTTGAGGTGTGCCCACCCTTAATTCTAGGTCTTAGGTTTAATTCCCCTACACAACAATATTTTACTTATGATTGTTTTCCCATTAAACGGGTGGTGACATGTGTCACCAATCAAGTAATGACACATGTTACTATTAAAATATATCTCAATAATCGTTTGACATGTGGTACATCTTCATTGGAGTGTTATTTTTTTAATTAAATTAAAATTAAGCCTAAGTTGATAGAATATGTAAACATTGAGGACCTATTGTATAATTATACTAATTTTATTAACTGTCACATCAGCACTTCCGTCAAATGTTAACAAAAGTTGGTTATATTAAACTCAATTAATTAGTTAAGTGATCATATTGGCAAAATTTGAAAATAGTGGTCATTTCGACACTAATTCTATAGATAGGTGGTCATTCAAGTAGTTTACCCGAAGAAGATTTAATATAAATTACTTGATGACTTAATACAAAATTAATGCCCTGTCAGTAGAGCAAATTCACACTCCCAAATTTAAAAGCTCAGCTACCTCTAAAGGCCTATCATGACATTCAACAAGCTGTTCACAAACTAATTGAACCTAACTTTGCTGTGGGGGAAAAAAGAGTGAAAGGAAAAAATGAAGTGGGGAAAACAAACCAACTTTTACAGTACTTAAGCTGCATGAACAATCCTCCGGATTTCGGTTTAATGTTGACTAGAAGTTGATTCTGCTACATGTGTTTCAACAGAAGAAGGCAATGCGAGCATGTTTCCTTTCTGGGCACGCGGTGGAAGGTGCTTGGTTGGCTTTCTTGATCGCATTGTCCAGGGCAAGAAGACACCCGTACCGCCACGAGGAAGTTTTTCGGGGCTCATTACCATTGGACTCACGGGAGTTAGCATGACAACAGGGCCACGGATGACTCCCAGTTTCGGCATCATATCCAGTGCCTTGTAGCCATTGAGAGCTTCATTTAACATTTCATATGGCACTGGCACACTCGGTTGCCACACTGTCGTCAGACCAGCCTGGGGAGCAGTCAGTGGTGAATGAACCTGGTTGGTATCGGGCCGGACTCGGAAGAACGTAATGCTAACCCTCTTGCTTGGAGATGGGCACATAACGTGTCTTGCCATGTCAGAACTGTTTCCCCTCATTACTAGAAGAGATCTGCTGAGAATGTTACAAACTTGCTTGTCAAGCAAGAGCCATTACCATAAAAAAACACATGGCAGTGCTAACATTCATAAATGAGATCTTGCTATATCATTCTCATGCAAACTGTAACCGTATTAGAATCATACAATGTCACCCCATCACTAAAAGCTTGCCTCATATTCGAATAGGAAGGAACGAACTCCAAAACAGAATCTGCAATTCCGATACTAAGCTGCTTCATCGGTGTCATATTTTCTCATTTTTTACTATCGGTGGTTTCATTTTCAGTCAGCTATTATGACTATATAGTAAAACAAATACAAAAGCATACCCTTCTTTCAAAGAAAGTTGGAGTGCCCCCCTATAGTTTCCTTCGCTATCACTCACGAGAGTGCGCCCAAAAGCCATGGTTGATTCAGAGAGAAGAAGAGTGGAGATGGGTTGGTCCAAATGTGGAGGTTTAAGAAACGGCTGTGAATATTCACCCTGCATTAAAGGGAATAAATAACTATATCAGTTCGGTCTTCCCTGCAGTTTTAATTAAAGATATGATGGCAAGCGGAAAAACGGGTATGCGAGGGCAGCGAAAAAGTATACCTCATCAAAGAAGTTAATTATGCAACCATTTGGTCTTTTATATTCAGGTACAAGTTGCCACTGGATCAGGTGTTTTATAACACCTTGGAGAAGAGCAGGAATTGGTTCTATATTGACTGTAAAACATTTAAAGAAAATAACAAATTAAGACACTAGAGAACCCAAACCGTATCACTAATTCATACAGGTAGTTCTTACTTGTCGGTCCGAAAATTGGAACACCGAGCTGAATCAGTTCTCTCTTGTTTCCTTTAATTTGTTTGTTGAACAGAATGAAAGTTTCGCCTGCCGTTATCCGAAAAATAAGAAATAATCAGCGAGTTCAGAAACAAATATATTTAGTTCAGAAACTACAGACATGATGAACAATTGCAAATCCATGACATAAAAAGTACCAGTTCTGATAATTACTGCTTAAACATCAGATTCCCTGTATAACTTTCCGATAATTATTAAATTGATCAAACTGGAAACATGAACGATTATACCATTTTAAACAAATCTACAACAGAAGGTATTAACTATTTCAAATCTTCATGTTATATTCTAATAACAGGCTCAATTCCGGTAAGACTTTATAGTGGGATTTTACCTGACAGTTCCCCTTTATGGCCAGCAGATCGAAGCTCAGTCACAAACTCACTGAGCTTAGCCAACTCTAAATCGGTGAACACTTCCTCATACAACTTCAGTCCTTTCACAACATTCACCTGCAATGCAGCAATTTATAGATAAATAAAACTGCCAGGATCCATCTTTTATATATATGTATCTCTGATTCCATATCTTCACTGAATTGAGAAACAAGAACTCACCATGTGTCCTTTTACGTGCTCCTTAGCAGAGAAACCTTTCGTCAGCTTGATCCGAGATGCGCGTGCATCACATTCTTCATGGTTCGAACAAATGTCGATGTTTTCCTCAACATGCTGAATTTCCTGAGATCCTGGATTGCAAGAACAGGTGAAATCAACTATATCGATAAAATAGAAGTAACGATGGGGTCAGAGTTGAATTAATTGTCACATTCTCAGCTTCTAGACAAAACAATGTAAGAAAAACACCAATTTCTCAGGCAAAGTAGCATGTTCTGTCATATTAAAGGATGACCACATCTTCCCCCAATATATTTGAACCCTGACAACCAAACTCAACCAAATGAGTCGACTCAGCAGGACTGGAGCAACTCAGTTGGGAATTGGAAAAACTATATAGCCACTTTTATTACATCAGCCAAAAATGTCAAAGAAAACAGGAAAAAGACCCAACAGCAACAACCACCCCAAAAGCAAGGCCCACGTGAAATCAGCAAACGGCAGCCGTGATGTCAACATTAAAGATCATACGGTTATGATCAGAAGCCGCCTACCATTAAAATCATTACACGCATCCCAAGGTAACGGCTCCAAAGTTCAACGTACTGAGAATAACTCTGTAGCCTGAGTGCCGCTGCAGCCGAACACTTTACTTTTTACCTCGAAACCCTCAAAACCCAACTTAAACCACGGAAACATATGAACCATAGTACCATATTTTAAACCTACCATCTCACAAATTAATAAAAGATTGAAACCTTTTTACTATGTCTATCTCGTGACAATTCTTTTCAAGAACCTTGTTGAAGAGGAAAATTTTAAGCAGATGGAATAGGGTAAAACGACATCCATTGGCATCATTGGACCCCCTCTTCGTTGAATTCATAGTCTTTGAAAATTTTGGAAACGTTGAATAATTGATCCGTGGAAAGATGCATTTTTTTTTGTTTGGTTCCTCGGAAAATGGAGGGGAATTAAGGCTTGCATATGTTTGGTTTATTCCGAGAAAAGCTTTCACTTTCTGGCTTTACCAAACACAAACACAATGATGCTTGAGATTCAACTACTTACCAGTTACCAATCTCTACCTTTCACGTAGCCAGAAAACAAGCCCCAAAAACATGACGGTGTTTTCTAGAATTCAAGTGATTAAAAGGGGGCAAAAAAGAGCCAAGTTCGTAGATTCTTATTAGCACAGTGACGTTGATAAGAATCAAACTCGGCCCGATTTTGCGTCTCAAATTCCAACAAGAGAACTCCAAAATTATTCAAACACGCACTAAAGGGAAAAGCTTTACCTAGCAATCAAACTTGGCATTTGAGAGACCAAAGGAAAAAGAATCAAACGGAGGAACAACACGTAATCAATATACATGTAAAAAATAATCAACCTTTACGATCGAAGTAATAATACTCCATTTATCTTCTTTTGATTATGAAGTTACCTGAATCGGTAGCATTACTGACAGGGGAATCTTCTTCTTCTTCGCCGCCAACTCCCCCATTTCCTTCGTTTTCCATAATTTTCTGGGCAACTTTCTCTTTCTCATCATCCAAACAACCACCACTTTTAACGTCCTCATTGTCCAATCCATCTCCTCCGACGGCCTTCTTGTCAGCCACCTTTTTCAGTTCCTCCGTCACATCAACAATGGAGTGGTACTTCTGCATCTGCAGCACCGGGATCCATTTCAGCCTCCTCCTGTGGATCGCCGTGAACACCGCTTCGTACTCCGATCCTCCACCTCCTTGAAGCTCCGCCAAGTGACCGCAAAGAGCGTCGATGATGGCATTGGCCGCCGCGAATTCCCCTCGGAACCAAGAAATGATCGTATCCTTATCCAAAACGTCAGAAACCGCCGGCACAGCTTGCATCATCGGTCCCATGGCTGTCGGCAATGCTGGCCCCGCCGCCATTGGCATCTCTCAATTCAACACTCTCTACTATAACCAAAACCCGTAACTTTTGTTCCGTTTCGGATGCTCCGAGCTCTTGGGTTTTTGGAGAAATTACCTATTGACCGAAATTTCAGCTGTTCCGTTGAGAGACAGAGTGAAAGCAAAAAAATGGTGCTTTGGTGGCTTTTGGTGTCGCAGCCGAGGAGGGGACTTATAATATGGTTGGAGCTTTTTGAGGGTGACGTGTCCGTACTGATGGGGACCACGGAAAGTGGAAACGTGGAGCTCTTTGGGAATAGGTGACGTGGCATAGCCAAATTGGAACTCGGGAGGCTAAACGATGATTGGAAAAAGTTTTACGCTTTAAAGCCCAAAAAAAGGATTCCAAACCCAATGGGTTTGGTATGTTTTGCGCTAATCAGTTTGTTGATTCATTTTTTTCTTATATTTTTTTTCTTAATATGATGTAATATTTATTGAATCTCTTCCCCATTAATATTTTTATAAATAGATAATTTTATGATTCATAATCAACATCTAGTGATAATATTATATTATTTAATGAAAATTTATTCTATAAAATTAATATATATTTTAAATATTTAATTAAAATTATAGAATTCAATGTAAGGTTAATTTTTTTAGAAGCTGTATCTTATTAAATAAATATTAAATTAAATATGGATTTAATATAAATGTGAAGCCTATGGAGACAAACGTATGGATAGGGGCCTGAGGTCCCCAGCCTGAGGCACGACCTTAGTTAATTAATTAATTAATGAAGCACAAGTTGTTCATTCTTTGAACTGCTCAGTTGGTAGAGCACAAGGTTTTTAAATTTGAGGTTGTGAAATCGATTCTCATGGTAGGTAATTTATAATTCTGGCTGCCGGAGGTCTTCTACGGAAGCTGCTCTCAACCCAGTATTGAGGATAACCTACTACCCTACCTCCCCCTTATCCCATTATACATGGGAATAAAATCAGTTAATTTATTTAAGTTGTTCATTCTTTGAAGACGAAAGTAAATATGGTTAATAAATGTGATCTAATCTTATTGTCCATTTTCTAAAACTGGCCTATCCATGATAATCTTATTCTTCCTTTCTTCTGGTGGTCTAGGAAGAAACTTGATGGTAGACTTTTCTGACAACTTTTTGGATCAACAAGACTTCATGTAAATTAATCTTGATTTTTGGCTGGTTAGAAATATTTAAAATAAATAAATAAATAAATTATAATATGTTTAAAAATAGTTATTTAAAATATAAATGATTTAATATTATAGAAACAAAATCCCTCAATCTTGAAATTCCCTAGTCATGAATTAGTGGGATGCATGCACCTTTGAAACTTTCAAAAACTATTTATATTTGTTTATTTTTATGAAGAGGTATAAAAGTCAAGTGGAGGAGAAAGAAGACGGCAAGTGGCGTGGGTCCAACTTTCCATCTTTCAACGACGGAGCGGAAGTTCGGTTTTTGGTGGCCCTCCCATTCTGGCCTTTATGAGTAGGGGTGAGCAAAAGCGGGATTCATCCACTGGCTTTGCCTCCCTCTTTGTTAGGTTTTGGCCTATTGCATCGACTTCCTTTTAATGCCATCAAAGAAAAAACAGAACAGCAAAGGGAAATCGAAGCCTCCTAAGAATCTGTATGCCTTAAAAGTACCATTATCTCACTTTGTTTGCAACAAATAAGGTTTTCAAAGATGACAACTCCTCACTTTTTTCTTCTCTTCCTCTTTAATCCTTACAGCCCTAATTGATTATCATTTTGCATGAACATTTCGAAAATAAATAAAAGATTGTGGGCTTGTGGCTAAACTCTTCAAAAGCAGTTGTAGCTATAAATGGATGACATGCCCATCTCCATCTTCATTTCTTCAATTTAAACTTCTTTCTCACCATAATTTGGTTATTTTATAATCTTTCAATATTAATATTTCATCATATAATTGGATATTTTTTTTGAATTAATCACTGATATCCGATCTATTAACCGACTAATCTAGATCGAGTATTGCAGAGGCGAGGGCGACCCTCACAATCCAGTTTGCTCCATTCATAAACGCCAGGATTCGAACCATGATCTTGCTTAAGGAATCTAGTATCTCATCCTACTATATCAACTGGTTGTTGGTACTCCTTATGTCACATAATTATATGTTTAAAATTAATAATACAATAAGTTAAACTTTTATTATAATATTTGAAAAATAAAATAAATGAGAACGATCAGAAGGGTTAAATCAAATAACTTTGAGCTTGAAACTTTCAACTATGCCATCCGTTATGAAATCAAACATTACTGTTTACAGTCTTTTATTTAGTATTCACATTTAATTTCATAAACACAACCTTCTAGAAGAAAAAAAAAGGAGAAGATTCCAATTTTCTCACTCTTAGAAATATACAATCTTTTTTTTTCGTAAACGAAAGAAAATAAATATATTTATTTTATTTTTCAGTCCAAACTCCAACCAAGCAGGCAAAAGAAAGAAAAAGAAAAGGTGTACATCAACAAATCTGAACAGGGACCAAATAATTTAGAATAAATTATACAAGTTGGATTACTGAATTTTTATTCTAGTTTCAAATAGGATATTAATATCGTTAATTATTAATAGAATTATTGATGTTGATCATTAAAATATTAATTTTTAATTTAATTGTAATTAAATCATCGACCGCTAATCCTTAATAGATTTTTTTGGATAAGTAAGCTTTTATTATCCAATAAGAAAGTTCAACAAATAACAATCATCCCTAAAGGGAGAAAAAGCCCCTATTTACAACAAAAAATAATGATTAGTCAAGACCCCAAAGGCTACAAAGATTAGAATTAACATGATCACTTCTATTAATGTCTTTATCGCTAACAAATTCCTTGATAGACTTGAGAATTTGATATGTTGTTCTTGATCCACCTTTGAAAATCCTTTTGTTTTTTTCTTCCCAAATTAAGTAGTTAAAAGCGTTCCAAGCAATCCTTAAGATAATGGAAATTAAGGATTTACCCTTCCATTTGTGAGCAGAACATTCAAGCCTTGAATTCCATGTCCTGTGAGTATCTCGCAAGTTGCTAAGAATCATGATAGAGTTCCAGATAGAAGAAGCATAGGTACAGTCAAAAAACAAGTGGTTTCTGGATTCTGATTCCTCATTGCAAAGAATACATAGCTGGTCAGTTGAGATTCCCATTATATAAAGTCTATCACGAGTAGGAAGACGTTCAAGAATAATCATCCAAGAAATCATACTTTGTCTGGGGATGTGAAGAGGAAACCAGAGCAATTTCGACCAAATAACCTTTTCTCTATGCTCCCTTAATTCTTCCCAAATAGCAGTGGCTTTAGTGATTCCAACAGAGATAATTGGAAGAGCCTCAGTTCTAAGTTTGAGAAGCTTTCTAATGCTCCAGCTAAAAGAAGAACATTGATGTAACTTAATTCACTGCTTTTAATAGATTGCTAATTAGGGATAGAGGTAATTGTTTTTGGAGTCTCAAAATTTGGAAATTATATATAAAAGAATTTCAAGTGGATGAAAATAAATAATGGATTTTAATTTTTTTTTAAAGGTCATGTTAATTTTGTTTTTCTAATATTTTATAAAGAAATTGTTTTCTCTCAAAAATCATTGTTAGTTGGCTTTATCCACGTTATTAATGTGAAAATTAAATAAATTTATATAATAACATATTTGATCTTTATTATTTATATTTTTTTACATATTTGATCTTAATTTTAATTAAAAATAATTTAATAATAGTTAAGTGTTAAGTCCTTGATTTAAACTCTCATAATCATATATTTTTTAAAAAGTCTTATATCAACTACAGTTTATCATAAAAATAATTTTGATAAAAAAATGTAACTAATACTTTAGTTGATTCAGCAATCGAGTGCTATGCCTATAACTCTTAAGCCTCATACATTGATAAAATCATAAAATAATGGCACCGAATATGTTATTATATAAATTTGTTTAAGTTAATAGTTTTGTTAATAATTAATAATCGATCATTTGATTGAAATTAAATTAAAATTTAATAACCTATTTTAAAAAATATATAATAATTAAAAGAAAATCAACCATAAAATCTAATAATCATAATATAATTTATCCAAAAATTTAATATCAGAACAAAATAAATAAGTATCGGTTATCCTAAAAGTAAAGTGTTCATGGACTTCCCAAGGAAGAAGCTTTTAGAAATTGCATAGGGCCGAAACACGCACCAACCATAAATATATGTGTTCTGACTTTAAGCAGGCTTTAACCATTTTTTTTATTGCAGAATCTGGGTCACATGTCATCAACTAACTCAACGATAAACAAAACAATGCAAACTCCCGACTTGTACACTTTGTACTCGTAATATCATCAATAAATAAAATGTAGGATTTCTTATTTATATAAACATGATTTATGCTGCACCAACAGCCAGACAGCAAGCTAATCATTATTTAAGAAATCAAAAAGTAGATATAATGCATTTTTTAATAAAAAAAACTTGATATTTGCTATTGATAAAAGAATATTGGATTAAGACTTAAGCAGTGGTTGATTAAAGAAGTGAGATTTAGATGTGTAGTTTGGTGGGGTTTTTCCCATGGAAAACAGCAGAACTCGTGCATGTCGGGTGAGCAGCTGCATCATCATGGAGTAATTATTAAGGTCAAACCTTAACTTAATTAGATACGGGGTCTGAGGGGCAAAGGCAACTCTGCTCCCTCAGACCACCCAAAGGTCTCTTTTTATTATTTACTGTTTTGTATGGTTTCGAAGGACCAATTCTCTTGTCTACTTTAGTGAATCTAGAAGGTTGTCTTCATCTATTAGAAATAATTGGAATCATTTTTATATAATCATTAATATTCGATCAATTAATTGAATAATTCATATTAAATATTATATGTTTAATATGAAAAGAGATAACTTTCTCAATCTAATTTACTCTTAAACGCTAGAACTTGAATTTTGATATTGGTTAAGAAATCTAATGTCTCATTTTATTAGATCAACTAGTTATTTATTGATATTTAATATACATGAACAACACCGATAAGGGTTGATTTAGAACATAACTAAAATATTAAATTATATTATCAAATTTAAAATAATTTTATAATTAGTTTATTTGCGATAGATAAAACAAATGA